ACACACACACATAATCAACGGAAAAGGGTTTTTAAAAGTGTCATAATAAAGCCTGACAGCTTGTGGGCCTCCTCCCTAGCTGACCTGAATATCTGCCTTATCACATCATTGTGCTGGTTAAAAAAAAAAGACAGACAAAAACACTCAACAATACAAAAACAGAGATGAAGCTGAGACACAAACAACTCTGGGATGAACAGGACCAGACAGCTAATTCTGAACAAGTGGGCCACTGCGGTCTAGAGAAAGGGCAATTCATTTTAGTCAATCGCTGGTCCTTTAAATTGGATATTGAGTGCTTTTGGGGGACTGAGGTTTATCAATGTCCATGCCCGACCGGGTCTGAATTGATCCCATTTGATACAGTTGATGTGGTGAGCAGAATCAAGAGCCAAGCCTACCTCTACACAGCACCAGCTCCTCCCTTTGGGGGAAGCAAAGTCATTACTATACAAGGAAAAAGTGAGCGAAGCCCCCCCACACTCACTGTAGCGTGAACATAAGCGCTATGTCCAGTGGAAAGAGCTTCCCCGTGCCTTTCAAGCCCTCCTACGACTTATTTGTCATAAAATAACCAAATCTCCCTTTTTAATCTGTGGCAGCACATTAAACATCACTTTGAGAAGAGATTTGTTTGGCCCACATGAATCCACTCAGGAGGATGGAGCCGCTCTTTATGTGGCCGGTGCACCACGCACCTCACTTGGCCAAATTAGATGTATACGATGTTGCATGTAATTGATCCAGTGTGTGTGTGTGCACTTTGTTTGTATATATGTGTGTGACTAGCAGAGCTGAGACTATATTTAGAGCAGTAAGAGGAGGACGAGCACACAGAGAAAAGAGGGAAAAAAGAGCAGAGGTCTGGTGTACAATGATCAATCAGGACAGACTCTCCGTAGCCGGGGGACAGAAAAGCATGCCAGCAAACACAAACACACACACGTGCACACAAACATGCACCCTACCTATACCAGAAATACATTCCAAAATAAAAACAGTGTGCATTTAAAAAAAACGAAATACACCCACAAACCAAAACAAAGAGCAGCAGAGGAAGCGTATGTAGATATACGAACCGCAGATCAGTGCACAGGTTAAAAAAAAAGACACATTCAAAAACTCACAAACACCCAGACTCTCTGATTGAAGGGTTCACAAAGCACACAGTAGATGGTATTGCATGGCTTTGTACCTTGGCCATTATCCGTCTTTTTATCCACCACAGAAACACCAACACACAAATTTAGAAAGACAGCAATTTATTTGTCCAAAGCTTCAACTTCCTGCTGCGTTCACGCTAATGTCACAACTGTCTCATCAGTCTGAAACCAAAACAAGATAATGGCCGGATTGTACTGTGCATCAAAATCATTTTTACGTTTGCTCGGCTGTCAAATTAAAAGATAAATAAATAAATAAAAGAAACCTAAGCACCGATTGAAATTCTGAGCATTTAAAGCCCTTTAAAGGAAGGTTTGATACAAACTGCGCACAAAACTTCACCGACTAAACAGAGCAA